ACTCCTTTATTGCCTTGGCTGTGTGTTTTGGGTCATTTTCATGTTGGAACACCCATCCACGACTCATTTTCAATGCCTTGGCTGAGGGAAGAAGGTTCTTATTCAAGATTTGATGGTACATTGCCCCGTCAATCGTTTCTTTGATGCTGTGCAGCTGTCCTGTTTTAGCAGAAAAACACCCCTAAAACAAAATGTTTCAACCACCATGTTTGACAGTTGGGATGACGTTCTTGGGGTCATAGGCAGCATTCCTCCTCTTCCAAACACAACGAGTTGAATTGATATCAAAGAGCTCGATTTTGGTCTCATCTGACCACAACACTTTCAGCCAGCTTCAGACGAGCCTGGACATGTGCTTTCATGAGCAGAGGGACCTTGCGGGCACTGTAGGATTTCAATCCTTGTCGGCGTAGTGTGTTACCAATTGTTTTTCTTGATGACTGTGGTCCCAGCTGCCTGGAGATCATTGACAAGATCTTCACGTGTAGTTCTGCGATGGTTCCTCACTGTTTTCATAATCATTGACACTCCATGAGGTGAGATCTTGCATGGTGCACCAGACCTAGTGAGGCTGACAGTTGTTTTTGTCTTTCTTCCATTTGCGAATGACCAACCAACCAACTGTTGTCACCTTCTCACCAAGCTGCTTGGCGATAGTTTGGTAGCCCAGTCCAGCCTTGTGTGGGTCTACAATCTTGTACTTTGACAGCTCCTTGGTCTTTGCCATGGTGGAGAGTTTGGAATCTGATTGATTGCTCCTGTGGACAGTTGTCTTTTATACAGGTAACAAAATGAGATTAGCAGCACTCCCTTTAAGAGACTGCTTCTAATCTCAACTTGTTACCTTTATGAAAGATACCTGTTAGCCAGAAATCCTGCTGAATGATAGGGGATAAAATTCTTATTTCCCTCATGAACATGCAAATCAGTGCATAATTTGTTAGACATGCATTTCTTTTAAATTTTTGGTTGCTATTCTGTCTCTGTGTTACAATACACCTACCATTCGAGTTTTAGACTTATTTCTTTGTGAGTGGGAAAACATTCAAAATCAGCAGGGCATCAAATACTTATTTCCTTCACTATATATCTCAGGATACACATATTAAGCTATATTCCAAGTACTACCCGACCTGGTATTATGCTGATACACCAATAAAACATGCTAAAGGGGTTGCAATTGCATTTGCTAAGAATGTAAGATTTAATATTGAAGACAGGTTGACTGACCCAGAGGGTCAGTTTTTGTTTGTGAGAGGGAAGCTACAGGAATTGGAATGTACATTAGCAAATATCTATTGTCTTAACAAAAACCCAATAAGTTATCTGGAGAATACACTAAGAAAACTTATAGATTTTAAGAAGGGTAAACTGATTGTGGCAGAAGACTTTAATTTCTGTATGGATCTATAGATGGATACATCATCACATGTGCAGAGAAATGGAGGTAAATGTCTAAAGTCTATCAAAAGGATGTTGCATCAGTGTCAATTGATGGACGTCTGGAAATTAAACATCCAAGGGAAAGAGACTATACGTTGTATTCTCCAGCATTTGGGATGTATTCTAGATTGGACTATATAATGGTAGAACATAGACTCTTGGAGTCTCCGGTTAAAGGTAATATAGAAGTTATGTCAATATCAGATCATGCACCTGTCACACTGAAGTTACAACTGGTGAAAATTTAATGAGACGCTCTTACAGGACCAGGAAACGGAGATAAGAATAAGAGAGGAAATAGAGCAGTATTTTTTGTCAAATGAAACAGAAGGGGTCTCCGTAGCAATGGTATAGGAAGCTCATAAGACATATATAAGGGGTATCTTGATTGCTATAGGAGTGGATAAAAAGAACGGTTAAAGAAAATCAGGGTGTCAACAGAGGATTTATACAAATTAAAACAACTACACAAAAAGAAAACTGAAATGGATATATATCAGAAGATAAAAAGAGATGAGTTAAAGGATTTAATGGAACAAGAAACGAGGAGAACGTTTAACATGGTGGCAAAAAAAAGATATCAGTGGGGGCATAGACCAGGAAAATATCTAATGAGAAGATTGAGGAATAAAAAGTGATGAACTATATAGAGAAAATCAAAGATGAGAATGGGGAAATGGTATATCGCTCATGTATTTCAAAAATATTACAGCAGGTTATATGCGGTAAAACCGAAGACCTTGAAAGAAGGAGAAAAAGGCAGATCTACTTAAAAGAAGCCAGACTACCGAGATTGGGGGAAGAAAGACTAGTAGCCTTAGAGAAACCAATAACACAAGAAGAAATACAAGTAGCATTGAAAAGTACAGCAGCAGGGAAAAGCCCCAGACCAGACGGTTATACAGTGAGACATTATAAGAAATTTAAAAAACAATTAGTCCCTAAAATGTGTATGTATATGACTGCATTAGGTGAGGGGTTGGAAATTAGGGAGGAGTCATTGCAGGCATATTACAATTATACCAAAAGAGGATAAAGATCGATCGCAATGTGCCAGTTATAGACCTATATCATTATTAAATACTGATATGAAATTATCTGCAAAGGTCTTAGCAACTAGGATGAAAGATCTAATGCTGGAGTAGATCCACTAAGACCAAGTGGAAATTATCCCCGCAAAAAACCAACAGCTCCTGTAATTGATTTTGTCAATTGATGCTGAAAAGGCTTTTGACAGGGTAGACTGGGGTTTTATGACACACTGGAAGTATTGGGAATAGGACCGAAAATGAGCCAATGGATACAAAAAAGTTATATAGCCATCCCTCAGCAGCTATGAAGGTAAATGGTTCATTGTCACAGTTTTTTAAAATGCATAATGGAACAAGGCAGGGATGCCCGCTTTCCCCTTTGCTATTTGTTCTGTCTCTAGAGCCATTACTGGCGATTATACAGAACAGTGTAGATATAAAAGGAATTCAGATGGGAGATGTGGAACATAAAGTCATGGCATATGCTAATGACATGTTATTCTACATTGTAAATCCTAGGTTGACACTACCTTGTTTAATGAGCATATTAAAACTTTATGGAGAATTATCAAACTTTAAAAATTATTCTTTCAAAGTCAGAGATTCTAAATATCAATGTTCCGCTGATAGAGAAGAGGGCCTTACAGAAGGATTTTCCTTTCATGTGCAGGAAAAGAATTAAATTATCTAGGAATAAAATTAACTCCATCCCTTAAGAATTTATACCAGGTAAACTACTTTCCATTAATAAATGAGATAAAAGATGACCTGAAGAGACTATCAATAAGATCACTTTCCTGGATTGGACGATTAAATTTGGTAATAATGGTGATAATACCAAATATTTTATATAAATTTCAAATGCTCCCAATACATTTACCAGGGACATATTTTGAGATTATAAAAAAAAATTATACTTTGGATATATATGGGAAAATAAAAAAGAGTAAAATACAAAATCCTGTGTAAAGATAAAGTAAATGGGGGTAAAAATGTGCCAGATTTTAGGAGATATCACTCTGTATTAATATCACGAATAGTTGATAAGAAATATAATACACAAGGGAAAAGTTGGGTTAAAATTGTGTATGTCTGATGACCACACAAGCACTTTAACTCAAAATGTATTTAGAGTATGGGTCACATTGCATGTGAAAATGGGATGGGAATATAATTCACTGTTAATATCACTGGTAGGAACAAATTATTTTCCACTAGGGAAAGATAACATTTTTGGAAAGTGGATTAAAGATTTAAAAAATAAAAAGGATTTGTTTTTCACATTAGATGAATGGCGATACTTTCAATTAAGACATTTTGTTACAGAACTTCCACAGCCATTAAGATCAGTGGAAGACCTGTATCCATTTGAACAAATGCTTAGTTCAGATATAATAAGAAAACACAGTACCTCATGTATTTATAAGATTCTTACTGCAATATCTGGACCCTCTTCTCCACTGTGTTTGGAAAAGTGGGAAATGGAGCTGGGAACACAACTGAATGAACAGCAAAAACAGAAAATATGTAAATTAGCACACTGTGCCATAGATATGACTATAATAGAAATTAACTATAAATGTGTGGTGAGATGGTATATCACTCCTAATGTGGCACATAGGCAAAACATAAAGAAATCACATTTATGTTGGAGAGGGTGTGGGATAAAGGGAACAATAACCCATATATAGTGGAACTGCCCAGAATACAGGAGTTTTGGCAGGAAATAATTCAGATAATATATGAGATCTCGGGAATGAGATATTTTGAAAGGCCCTTCGGTATGTTAATTCCATTGTACCGAGTTAACAGTGAAACCATAGAGGAATACGATGGTATTTCATTTAATAAATACGGCAAAAGGATTGATCCCTAGATTTTGGCAGAAAAAGGAGATACCAAAAATAAAAGACTGGTTGTATAGGGTTGAGCATATATATAGGATGGAGGAACTATACCATATAGGAGAGGAAAAAAATGGAAAAATTTAGAACAATATGGGAAAGGTGGAGTGAGTTTAAAATCTCAAAAAGATATGTAGAACTGGTAGGAGTCTAAATGAAGAGAAGAAAGCGTAAAATGAAGGAAAGAGTAGAGAGGAGGAAAGAAGGGGGAAGAAGGATGATAAAGAAAGTAATGAAGGAGCAAGAAGAAAAAGGGAAAAGGTGACCAGGAGAGGAGTCAGGGAGGTAAATTTCTGGGGGAGGGGGAAAGGGAATGGGGGATGGGGAATTTGGAAAAATATGTTTTGGAAAATGTATTTGTATTTTATTTATACTGTATTTGTGATTTTGCAATTTGAAACTAATAAGATAAGATAATATAGTAATGTATAGTAAGGACCAACTAATCGATAATAAAAATAGTTGACAACTATTTTTATAACCGATTATGTTCATTAGTTTTTTTCAGCCCTAATTGGGATACAGAATAATTTACTGTGTTTAATGTGATTACCAGCATGAATGATATTTCTTTATTAATAGCCTGTATTATTATCCTCTCCTGCTCTGTGTATTTATTTAGGGGCAGTTTCAGAATTGTCTAGCTCCAGACATCAGGAAATTTAGCTACTTTCCAGACTATGTTGATCAAAATCTGGACTTATTTAAGGATAAGACTGTGTTAATGTACTGTACAGGAGGAATTCGCTGTGAACGTGGTTCGGTTACCTCAGGTCAAAGGTGAGAAAATTATTGTAAGATATTTAGCTGACTAGAATAATATAGAATTGTATCCTAATATATTCTTTTAGCAGATCCTGTTTTAAACTGAGCTTGACAAATTAACACTAGAAGTTTTCCATATAGCTGACACTGGGAAACATTTATGTACAATTTCAGAATTTTCATTGAAAGGCGTAATTGCTTAATATGCTGAGAATGTTCTTGCAGACAGTCTGCAAGTGACAGTGGACTATTTCCTATGTCATTCTGTGAGCACTATTCAGTATATATCTTTATCAGAGTGTTCATGTTTTAAAACCTTGTTTGTAGATAAACGTAGGTTATGGGGGCACCCACATTTCCATCTATAGCTATACTGGCTCTGTTTCCTGTTTCTGCTTTCCTTTGAACCATTCTGATTCACTACTATTCTGTTATAGGTAGGTGAATGTGTCTGATTGTGATCAGAGTCTCAGAAGTATCTACGCCCTGTTCCAAATTATTATGCAAATGATATTTTTCTCATTTACCTAAATAATTGATGTAAATAACAGTCAGCATAATTCTCATGTTATCAACTATTAAGAGTACAATTCAAATTTTATTGAACAAACCTCCTAATGATAACAGTATTTTTTTAAACACTTACAATGCACTGTTCCAAATTATTACGCACAGTAAGTTTCAAAACACTTTATAGGTTGTAAAGAAGTGAAAATTGTCATTTGTTGTGTTTGCAGCATATTTACTGAAATCAAAAGCTATTTCAATCAAACTTTTAACAACATTTTAACTTTTTAAACATTTTAACAGGTCACGTTACATTTTAACATAGGACCCCTTATTTGATAGCAGCTTCACAAGTCTTGCATCCATTGAACTTGTGAGTTTTTGGACAGTTTCTGCTTGAATTTGTTTGCAAGATGTCAGAATAGCCTCCCAGAGCTGCTGTTTGGATGTAAACTGCCTCCCACCCTCATAGATGTTTTGCTTGAGGATGCTCCAAAGGTTCTCAATAGGATTGAGGTCAGGGGACGATGGAGGCCACACCATGACTTTCTCTCCTTTTATTCCCAAAGCAGCCATTGATGCAGAGGTATTCTTTGCAGCATGAGATGGTGCATTGTCATGCATGAAGATGATTTTATTACGGAAAGCATAGTTCTTCCTTCTGTACCAGGGAAGAAAGTGGTCAGTCATAAACGTCACATACTTTGCAGAGGTCATCTTTACACCTTCAGGGGCTCTAAAGGGGCTGACCAGCTCTGTTCCCATGATTCCGGCCCAAAACATGACTCCACCACCGCCTTGCTGACGTTGCAGCCTTGTTGGAACAGGGTGGCCGTCCACCAACCATCCACTACTCTATCCATCTGGACCATCCAGGGTTGCACAGCACTTATCAGCGAACAGGACTGTTTGAAATTTAGTCTTCATGTATTTTTCTGCCCAATGCAGCCGTTTCTGCTTGTGAGCATTGGTTATTGGTGGCCAAATAGAAGGTTTATGCACAGTTGCAAGACTCTGGAGGACTCTACACCTTGATGTCTGTGGGACTCCAGAGGCACCAGCAGTTTAAAATATCTGTTTGCTGCTATGTAATGGTATTTTAACAGCTGCTTTCTTGATCCGATAAATGGATCTGGCAGAAATCTTCCTCAATGTGCCTTTATCTGCACCAACCCGTCTGTGCTCTGAATCAGCCACAAATCTCTTAATAGTGCGATGATCACGCTTATGTTTTCGTGAAATATCTAATGTTTTCATACCTTGTCCAAGGCATTGAACTATTTCACTCTTTTCGGCAGCAGAGAGATCCTTTTTCTTCCCCATATTGCTTGAAAATGGTGCTCTGCTTAATAATGTGGAACACCGCCCTTTAGTAGTTTTCCCTTAAATTGGGCTCACCGGCCAATCTAATTATCACAGATGTCCAAGATTGTTTTCAGTGATCAAAAGAGCCCTGACAGACAATGCCATCCATGAGTTAAACTGAAAAATAAAATATTTCATCTTTGTGACACTTAAATAGAATTTGCATAATAATTTGGAACGCGGTGTAATGACATGAAATACCCACAATGCTCTTTGTAGACAAAGATCATGTTGTTATAGGCTTACATTTATGTCATATGAAGTAGCTTCGGTATAGCAGCTTTTATTCATATCAAGAAAGTGGTACAATAATGTGATTTGCTAATGCTGACATGCCCTGTTGATTCCTTTTGAAGTGTAAATTTTAAGAATGATCATATGTTAAGATTTCTTTAATTCCACTAGAATGATGACATTTATTAAGAATACCATTCATAAATTATATCAGTTATAAATCCTCTTTAACTCCCTTACTGTAAGGCTTACACATATGCATGGCGGCAAAATGGCGTGCTTTCAAAGATAAGTTCACTTAAAAATAAATAAATAAATAAATGCACATCTTTTTGCAGGTAAAAAAAAGTACATTTATTTATTTATTTTTACTTAGAGCCTAGAAAGCATTGCCCCCGTGATTGGCAGATTGCGGGTGCCATGCAGGACTCCTGGAGCTCATACGGGCAGGCAGATACACACTGACAGGAAGAGACTATGAACTACTACAGTGCTTAAAAGCGTCATGGTAGTTCATTGAGAACTACAATCTAACAGCCTCAAAGACTGTAGGTACTTGTAGTTTTCCATTTACAGAATTCTGTAAATTAATGGTGCGGTCGGGCGTGTGCGATTTTTTTTTTTTTTTTTTTTTTTTTTTTTTTTTTTTTTTTTCTTTTATGGTGACCGCTACTAATGCTGGAGAATATCCCCCATTAGCTGTCACTAGATGCAGTGGAGCAGGCTGCATCTCCCAGTGTGGGAACATGTTACATTTTCCCAAAGGTGAACTTATCTTTTACCACCCACACACTGCACATATGCATTGTTAGGCATGTTTCTATGTTGAGAGCATGCTAAGTACACACTCCCAGCACAGAGACTGAGCTGTGTAAGACTGTTCTTAGACTTCGTTAATGATCAGTAGTCGGCAGGACAACCAATCACAGTGCCCATTTAATTGGCTGATCTTTCCTGCCACCAGTGTTCAGAATTTTTTAAAAGGATGCCAGGGCAGGCGGGAAGGACTCAATCCTTAAATTTACAGTAGTGTTTATACAAATCACTTCAAAATTAAATTTTTTAAACAACTAAATACTGTCTGTGATACTTATTCAATTTACACTAACATTTTAAATTTTAAGGACAAGCTTTCAGGTTGTCTTCTCAGTCCAAGCAGTACCTGTTGGACTGAGAAGAAGGGACCACCCCAAAAGCTTGACCTAAAAATGTAAATGTTGTTTGTTCAAATTGAAAAAGTATCTTTTTGCCGCAAGTGCATTAATTTGGCTGCAGTCACCTCAAGTAGTTTTTATGAAGCAGTACTTTTAGTTCTTTTTTTCCTTATTCCTTCTGTAGGCTGTTTGCAGAGAAGTCTACCAGCTAAAGGGGGGCATCCATAAATACTTAGAACAGTTCCCAGATGGCTTTTTTTAGGGGAAAGCTGTTTGTTTTTGATGGACGGTATACCATTTCTTCTAACGATGACATCATATCAAGTAAGTACTGTTACATGTAGTTATTTAGTCAAGTTGAAAAAAAGACACAAGTCCATCTAGTTCTACCAACTGAAAAAAAATGTACAAATACAGAATTGTATACCCACAGTTGATCCAGAGCATACATTCACCTTGCTACTAAGCTTAGTGAACATTCACTTTGCTGGAGACCACTGTGTTAGACCATACCAGCTGTCCTAGTGTATCCAAATAACATTTTATAAGGAAGGAACATAAGCGTCCAAACATTCCATGGATGACAGAATTTATTAAGAAACCATGAATAAAATCACAGAAATAAAAGACTAAAGCATCTGTGGTCACCAAGCTGCAATACACACAATTGGCAGTGGCACAATGGTGGTAGTAAGATGTAGAGAATAAGTCGTTCCAGCCAAGGTGTGTTGTAGTGAGGTTCCAAATAGTGAATCCCTGTTGGTGTAAGAAGTGGCTTCTGTCTCACCCGCACTTTGGAAGTAACAACAGAGCACACCGGAGTCAAAATCAAAAGAACTGGGGATTTGCTGGAGGAGGGCCACTGACACTACAGGAGATTAAGGCTTGGACCACAAAGGTTCTGGTTACCATAACAAAGCGTTTTGTGCTGCAGGGGATTTGTCAAAGTCACATGATAACCATAACAGGAAGCTTTTTATCATTTTAAAATCGGCAGGAGCAAGCTGCAGGGAATAGTTTAACTTGAAGGTACTGTACATTCTCTATACCTTTTCCGGCTGAACACATTCATTAGTAGAAAATTATGAAAATCTTTTTTTTTTTTTTTTTTAAATATCTATTTTCAAAAGCACATTATTAATATCAACCATAACAGCTGTAATCAAAACAATAAAATTCATTTTTTTTTATATCTGTTCAAAGTTCAGCTTTGGGGTCACAAAGGAAAAGGAAAATTGTGCTGATGACAAAATCTTGGATTGAGTGTAGCTTTCAAGGCTCATAGACATATACAGTTGTGCTCAAAAGTTTACATACCCTGGCAGAAATCGTGAACTTTTGGCATTTATATTTTATTATTATTATTATTTATTTCAGGTATTTTTATAGTGCTGTCAATTTTACGCAGCGCTTTACATATATATTAAACATTCACATCAGTCCCTAACCCTTAAGGAGCTTACAATCTAAGGTCCCTAACTCACATACAGATACTAGGAGTACCCGGAGGAAACCCACGCAGGCACAGAAAGAACATGCAAACTCCAGGTAGTTAGTGCCGTGGTTGGGATTCGAACCAATGACCCCATTGCTGCTAGTTGGAAGTGCTACCCACTTAAATATGAGATTTAAAAATATGACTGATTTTTTTTAAGGTTAGTGATCTTATGAGGCCATTTATCACAGGGCTCAAAATTTCAAGTTCTGAGCTACTAGCCAGGACTTAAGAGTTACTCGACAAAGTTGCCCCACTCATCCCCTACCCTGCCTCGCTTTTAATTCTGCCCCTAAACACGCCCTTGTAAATTATCTCATGAGATGGCACTGTTAAATGTTTTATGCAGAATGAAGGAAGGGAAGGAAGGAAGGAAGAAAGCAAATGGTAGGAAGGGAGGGAGGGGCGGAAGGAAGGGAGAAAGGGAGGGTTGAAAGGGAGGGGTGGAAGGAAGAAAGTGAGAAAGGGAGAGAGAGAAGGAAGGAAGGGAGAAAGGGAGGGAGTGGTGGAAGGAGAGGAGGAAGGTGTGAAAGGGATGGTGGAGGGAGGGGTGGAAGGAAGGAAGGAAAGGAGGAAGGGAGGGGTGGAAGGAAGGGAGGGATGGGAGAAAGGAAGAGGGGGAGGGGTGGAAGATGGGGAGTGGAAAGAGAGGGATGGGTGGGAGGAAGGAATGTTTGGAAGGAAGGGGCGGAAGGGATGGTAGAAAGAAGAGTGGGAGGGGTGGAAGGAAGGGAAGCAGGGTGGAAAGAAGGAGGGGGGGGGTGGAGGGGAAGGAGGGATAGAAGAAAAGGAGGGAGGGGTGGACGGAAGGGAGGCAGGGAGTGGTGGGAGGAAGGGAGGGGTGGGTGGAGGGATGAGAAGGGTGGGAGGAAGGGAGGGAGTGAAAGGGAAGGGAGTGGAAGGGGAAGGGTGGGTGGAAGGGGGGAGGGGTGGGTGGAAGGGGGGGAAGGAAAGAAGGGGTGGGTGGAAGGAAGAGGGTCGTAGATGGAATGGAGGGAGGTGGGACTCACATGTTCAGTCAGATGCATCAGAGCTGCCGGCTGCTCTGTGTACAATTTCCCACCACACATCCTCTTCTGAGAAGCTACACGGACTGGAGTGTGGGCGGGCACAGGGGGAGGCAGTGCAGATCCAGCCTCTCTCCCCTCTTCATCTATTGGTGCGAAGGATGGGGGGAGGGGCTGGGCATTGAGGAACACACAGTGAGGGGGCCAGGAAAGAAACAGAACGATCGGGGATGATCGGTGCAGTGGTGGGGGCAGTGACAAGCAGCAATCTCCTGTACGTCCTTCATTGAAGCAGCTGGAAGCCGCCTCTCCTCTCCTTCCTGTGGCTTCGAGCTGCTTCATCGAAAGACATACAGGAGATTGCTGCTTGTAACCGCCCCCAGCGCTGCCCCACCCACACACACTTAGTCCATGCGCTGCTCGTTTCCATTTTATTTCCACTCGCCCAATGCGAGTGGAAATTTTGAGGGCTGCATTATCACATAGTTGTTTGGCTCCTTTTTAAATCATAATGATAACAGAAATCACCCAGATAGCCCCAATCAAAAGTTTACATCCCCTGGAATGTATGGTCTTGGTACAGATGCACAAGGTGACACAAACAGGCCATAATCGCAGTTAAAAGTTAATTTCCCACATCTGTGACTTTTTACATTGCAATTAATGCCTGTGTTTTCAATGCACTGAGCAGGCTAGATATTGAGGCTATAAAAATATATCTAAAGCCTTTAATATGCCAGTCAGTACTGTTCAGTCACTTATTAAGAAATGGAAAGTTTGGGAATCTCTTGATACCAAGTAAAGGTCAGGTAGACCAAGAAAAATTGCAGTCACAACTTCCAGAAGAATTGTTCAGGATACAAAGAAAAACCCACAGGTAACCTCAGGAGAAATACAGGCTTCTCTGGAAAAAGAAGGTGTGTTTTTCAACCCCTTCACGCCTAAGGGTAAAACAAATCTTAATGCCCGAGCACAATTTTGCAATGTTGGCATGTGTTAGTAAAACCATACATATCATCACAACTACTTCCATCCAGGTGAATTATACCTTGTTTTTTCAGGACAAATTGGGCTTTCATTTGGTGGTGACTGGTAATGGTTATCTCCTGTGTTTTTTGTTTTCATTATCAAAGGAAAACTAGCCAAAAATAGTAAGACATTTTTTTTTTTAATTTAGCTGTGTGTTTCTTGTTACAACCATAACGTACCACCAAAGAACAACCCAAAATAAATTTTTATAGCTCTTAACGATCGCAGCGATACCATATATGTGTATGTTATTTGTTGTTTGTACCCGTAGTACAGCCCAGAAACCATAGTGGTCATTTTGTTTTGTTTTTTTTTTTTTACCTAAAACACACTGACACTAATACCAATTTAAAAAAAAAAAAAAAAGAAACCTGACCTTTGACCCTGACCTTTTGATCTTGACCTTTGACCCTGACCCAAACACTAACCCTGGCACTGAACTAGATCAAACCTTGATCTATGTATTTTGTTGTCGGGCATATTGTACAAGGTGTTGTCAGGCATATTGTACCTGGGTTTTTTTTTTTTAATTGGTGTGGGCTTTTGTAACCAATGCATTTATAACTATTACAGCAGACGATACCTTTAAAAAGAAAATCCTTTATAGTCTGGCACTTCTGTGTATGTACGATTTGATAGTGAATTTCTCTCCCTTGTTTTTCCAACTAGGTTGCCATTACTGTGGCTTGGCCTGGGACAAATACAAGTTATGCTCTACTCATCGCTGCTGCCAGCTGGTGCTGACCTGCACAAAGTGTCAGGAGCAAGGGCTCACTGCCTGCTGTCATACATGCCAGGAGAAAGAGCTTAGCAATCAGTATGACAGAGACCAGCAACATTACAAAGAAGAATGTGAATGTACACAGAAAAGGCCTAAGATTCCAAAAGAAACTCTTTAGACTGAACCGCCTTTTATCAATATGTTTAATCCAGGGGTTTTATTATAAAAAATACTTTAGTGATGGAATTGCACAACCTCTATATGCAGCTTTGTGGTAATATCAGTAATACCATTCCTACACATATCATGAGAACAAACTGAGATGTAATTCTATATGCTACATGAAGACCCAAGTTGTTCTGCATTTGGAAGAATAAACACAAGTGCTTTTACAAGAGTGCAGATTTTGCACAGTTTTATGAGTAGTTTACATTAGGTGAATGAATTCCTATTTAATACAGATGAATTTTAGTAAGCCATAAATTGATAAGTAGGTGTTTTGTACATTATTAGAAGGCTTTATTTAAAAAAAAAAAGGCAAATTTTGATTTTGCAGTATTTTATATGAACAGTTTACTTCCTATCCTGAAAAAAAGGTATAAATGCATTTACTACATCAGCCATTAATACTCTGCGCTATAGATGTCTTATTGGTACCAATTAATGGAGAAGTTGACTCTGCTTTTTAAAAGTAGAACTATAGGCAAAACTTTTTTTTTTTTTTTTTTTTTTTTTAAATTTGGATAGAGCAAGGGAGGATTTTAACCCCTGTCAGTTTGTTTGCCATCTGTGTCCCATTGGGGTGATTTCCCTTCACTTCCTGTCCCATAGCCAAACAAATCCCTGCAAATTAAGGAAATTCCTTGGGGATCCCTATGCCAGCAGAACTTTCCCCTGTATTACTTTTCTGGGGACAACCCACAATTTTAGATTTTCTTTTACTTTCACTTTCAATGATAATAGTGAATGGGACATATAGGGAGGGGGAATTTCCCTAACGGGAGCACAGATAGCAATAAAATATGACAGCTTTCTAATCCTCCTGCACTCTATCCAAACTAACAAAAAAACTTTGCCTTTAGTTATACTTTAAGGCAAGCTGATGACAAAGGACTAGTCACTGGTATAACCCATGGTCTGCACGCAGCTGATCTTTATTCTATTACCCACCTACCATGCCTTGTTCTACATTGAATCTTTTAGAGTAGGGATGTCAAACTGGCGGCCCTCCAGCTGTTGCGAAACTACAAGTCCCATCATGCCTCTGCCTTTGGGAGGCAATCTTGCAATGCCTCATGGGACTTATAATTTGGCAACATTTGGAGGGCTGCCAGTTTGACACCTGTGTTTTAGAGGATCAAGCTTTGCTTCCTCATGTCAGAGCTGCCCACCTGATGACTGCTGAAGTAGTGATCAAGCACCAGTAAGAAAGTCAGATAAAGCTCAGATCCACAGAATGAAGTGGAAGCAGGGAGATGCTTACCTGCAGGTCCCCAGGTACAGTATCTCCCCAGCAAGGAGAATGATGAGAATAGCAGTGACATCACCAAATCTCACTCCACATTTTGTCAGACTGTAAGTCACAGACAGCAGTGCCTTAGATGATATGAACCTGCAGATATACAGCTATGAGGGTGAAGGCACAGGAGTACCTATGCACAGAAAGTGCGCTGCTATTTTCCGGGAGGTATTCAAGACCTAAAGTACATTTTTTCAGTGAACTGTTTAGGCACAATTACCACTTCTAAATGTTCCTTATAATATAGAAAATCTTCACATTTTGATTGCAGGTTCACTTTAACGCCTTGCAGCAAAATGTAACCGTTATACATGAGCATCTAAATGTAGCTTCATTCTTGTCATTCACTCAACAAGATTTGTTTTGAAGAACTTGGATACCATTCATAGATTTTATTAGTGAAAGGGCCACATAATTTTGTAATGAAAGCTAGATTTTTCACTATTCCGTGCACATGGTAATGCACATGTGTAGATGTGAATGGGCCCATGGAGTTTCCTTTTGTCTTTCACACTGCACTGCAGACTATATATGTGAAATAGCCACACAGGAAATAACTGGATCTTGACATGCATTTTCATGCAGAAAAATTCAACAATTGCTGCATCAAAATGGACAAGTGTGAATAGGCCCTAAAGAAAACAAGAATGTTTGTCTTTTCAGTGAACACATTCTGTGACTCAGTTCTTTCTATGTCACTGACCTGGAACAAGTACGTTTATTAGGAGTTTTGACTTCAATGTGAATTCACACTAGTTCTAGGTCAGTAGCTCAAAATGTATGGAGTTCAGTGAATCAACATTACTAGCAGGTAACTGGCATCTTAGGAAAGTGTCAGCAATGGCAACTTCCATGTTTCATTTGCTCCAGGTTTTCATTAACCTCTTAACCACATAATGCATATGCAGGGCAGCAAAAAAGGTAGGCTTTGAGCCATATTCATCAATGGGGATAGATGTTTCTGTGCTGAGAACGCACCCCCTGTACACACCTTGCACAGTGACTGAGCTGTCCCAGACAGCTCTAATCTCTGTTTATGATCAGGGGGTCAATGGGACAGGCTCCTGATCATGTAACCACAGTGATCATGTAATCAGGAAGTCCATCCCTCTGGTGTTAAGGGCCACCAGGAAGGGGTTACGTTTAGAAAATACGCTAATGGTTTGTGTACAGACCTACCAAGTGAGTCCAAAAAGCAATGTGGACAATAAAGTGAAACTTCACTCTCCTTATGCTGCTAGCATTAGTAAATAGATACTTTTTTTTTTTTTTTTTTTTTTTTAACATTTCTTCGGTTACTTCCTGGTTTCCACGCCTAGGCAAATGATGTCATAGATCCCAGGAGTCTTCAGAAGTGGAGGAGGGGCTTTCTTAGCTATGCACACCCTCCTGCCTAATCTATGGGAAGATGGATTCCAGGAAGTAAATGCTACTGCCCTTATTCAAGATGACAGCTTCCAGAAATGTTAGGGGGTGTTTATCAAAGAGATTTCTTAGCAAAATAAAGCATTGAGATGTGGATGGATGGGAGAGTTTGCTTTGAATATTAAAAATAAATTAAATAGCATTTTTGGTTTGAGGTGTTCAGATGCCGTGTAGTTCCACTTTAACCTAAAGCGACTAATCAGATCTTACATTTTATTAGTGTTTGCTGTTAGGGTATTTTATTGAATTCAAAGGACAAATATGTTTCTGGTTCAGTTTTTTTTTTTCATCTTCATTGCAAGTTGTTTTTTATCCAAATTAACTGATTTAATGTGCTGTATATAAATATATTTCTGTATAAATGTGATAACATTTACGTGATTAAGCCTTCCACTGATAATTACACTGTGTTTTATAAATAAATAGAACTATTTCTACCACTTCGCAATTTGATTACATTAATTACCAAGTAATGTTTAAGGGCATTTGTAAATGCAAAAGCCCAAAAAATTACACAGGCCTCTAATTACAGAATTAAAGCTGCTTTTAGTATTTTTTTTGAAGCATTAAATGCGTTTTCATTATGAGAAATAGAATTCTTGCCTTTACTTGTTTATTTCATGTAAAAATTGTGGGTCTGAAAAGGGAAGAATCACGGAGAAACAGTAGGGTTGACTTACTAAAAGAGTATAATCTGTTAAGTGAATGTTTCCTGAAGCTTAGTGAATAAGGTGATATGTTCACTGCAATAAACCAGTAAGCACAGGTTCACCTTATTTACTAACATATATTTTGCAAAGTGCAATTTCACTTTAAGCCCGGGTTCACATCAGTGCGGTGCGGTCAATCGCATGTGATTCGCACAGGAACCGCTCCTCCATTCCTGTACAAATCACATGCGATTTGTAAGCGGTGCAATTGGAGCCATACATTTTGTATGGCTCTATTCACACCGCACCCGCACTAAAAACGTGCAGGACCCTTTTTGGGTCCTCACTACAGCTGATTTACAATTAGCTACAATTAGCTGATTAGAGTGGGACACTTTGAGCCTAGAATATTGCATCTTTTCACAATATTCTAATTTTCTGAGATTGTGGATTTGGGTTTTCATGAGCTGTAAGCCATAATCATCACAATTATGACAAATCACGGCTTGAACTATCTTGCTTTGCATGTAATGAGTCTATCTCATATATTAGTTTCACCTTTTAAGTTGCATTACTGAAAAAAATGAACTTTTGCATGATATTCTAATTTTTCGAGTTTCACCTGTAGAATCAGATCGCATGGGTATTCACACCTATGCGATCTGATTCTGCACATCGCAACGTGTTTTGCGGACCGTGTTCAGGGTGTTGTTAACATACACACCCGCAGCGGTTCGCATGAACGGGGTGCGATTCTGATGTGGTGCAGAATTCTCACTGAACACGCTGCGAATTCTGCACCACAATAGTTTGAACCAGGGCTAAAGGCTTAGTTCATCTTTTCACAAAACATTCTTTGATGTAAGACATCAAGAAATATTCTCAAAATGAGTTCTCATCAGCAATTACCCAATCTAAAGCAGGTAATGGTGAGGGGTTCCCTAATAGCTTAGTAGAATACTGAACATTTCCATGAAAGCTGGGAAGATGGAAAAACTAACACTTATACCCATACCAGAATGAAGACGTAGGTATATGAAACAGATTTGATCTTTTAAAGTGTATCTAAAATCTACATTTTTGTACCTGTAAAATTCTATACTTTTAAGTGCTGGATAGAGTGCTGAGGGGTTTGACCCTCCGTCATGTTTTTATTGTTATATGTGTCCCTAGGGAGTTTTACTCTCTTTAGTTGGTCTGGTGACTGAAACTAAGGGAAAATCCCAAATTTTGTATTGTCACCAGTAAAGGAACATAAAAGATCTTCTAATGAGGCATTTGCAGGTCAGTTGTACAAGAAAGCATTTCTCTTACTTTGGAGAGATTTTCTTTCTCTTTCTCTTGGGTGTACAGGACAGGAAATGAAGGAAAACCTCACTTTTTAAAAACCCCCATGTATTCTGTCCCTATTACACCCAGGAATGCAGTAAAAACTGTGCAAACAAATCTCCTATTTTTGTGTAGGGGTGTCATTTTAGGCAGCAAATAGGTCAGACTCACCTGTGCCAATAACTAGTAGAAATAACATGTAATTTATCTAGTTTTGCACATGTCCATGTTCCTGACAAGTAAGGAAAGGCGGAT